CCAGAGGTTGCGCTAGACTCCAAAATCCATTATAACCCGTCGGCCTGTACACAACTCTGCCGGGGGGGGCAGATACGCTAACAGTTCACTCGCTCGTGAACTGTTAGCGCCGTGTTATGCATGCCCACTGCACCTCGCGGGAGCGCGCGCAGCGTAAAGCAAGTAGCCTACTCAGAGACATTTCAATTATCTGTTCGGCAAAGTTAGGTTTGGAAACGATATCCTTTCCTTTTGGGAGGGCATGCATAATAACACGGCATAACACCGGAGCCTCGCTGCGGGGAAACTTTGGCGCTGTTCTCAGTTTGTTCTAATCTGTCAAAATGACGGACGGCTTTCAGATTTTTCCGTCATTGTTAAAAAAAAAACGTCATAAACGGAAAATATTCGGTTAACGCGACCTGGGCGGGACATATCTAAGCGGTTGACCAATCACAACAGAGCCTGCCAGCTAACCAATCAGAGCAGACTGGGCTCTGGTTTCAGACAGAGGGTGAAAAGAGGTGCTGCAGCACAGGCAGTATGAGAAAAATAAAGAGCTTTTTGAACATTAAAGCATGGAGACATGTCCCAGGAGAGACACTACATACTGATATACACCTGCACATCAGCAGGAGAGGACTCTTTAAAGTAGAGACACTAAATACTGATATACACCTGAACATCAGCAGGAGAGGACTCTTTAAAGTAGAGACACTACATACTGATATACACCTGAACATCAGCAGGAGAGGACTCTTTAAAGTAGAGACACTACATACTAATATACACCTGAACATCAGCAGGAGAGGACTCTTTAAAGTAGAGACACTACATACTGATTTACACCTGCACATCAGCAGGAGAGGACTCTTTAAAGTAGAGACACTACATACTGATATACACCTGAACATCAGCAGGAGAGGACTCTTTAAAGTAGAGACACTAAATACTGATATACACCTGCACATCAACAGGAGAGGACTCTTTAAAGTAGAGTCACTACATACTGATATACACCTGAACATCAGCAGGAGAGGACTCTTTAAAGTAGAGACACTACATACTGATATACACCTGCACATCAGCAGGAGAGGACTCTTTAAAGTAGAGACACTACATACTGATATACACCTGAACATCAGCAGGAGAGGACTTTTTAAAGTAGAGACACTACATACTGATATACACCTGAACATCAGCAGGAGAGGACTCTTTAAAGTAGAGACACTACATACTGATATACACATGAACATCAGCAGGAGAGGACTCTTTAAAGTAGAGACACTACATACTGATATACACCTGAACATCAGCAGGAGAGGACTCTTTAAAGTAGAGACGCTACATACTGATATACACCTGAACATCAGCAGCAGAGGACTCTTTAAAGTAGAGACACTACATAATGATATACACCTGAACATCAGCAGGAGAGGACTCTTTAAAGTAGAGACACTACATACTGATATACACCTGCACATCAGCAGGAGAGGACTCTTTAAAGTAGAGACACTACATACTGATATACACCTGCACATCAGCAGGAGAGGACTCTTTAAAGTAGAGACACTACATACTGATATACACCTGCACATCAACAGGAGAGGACTCTTTAAAGTAGAGTCACTACATACTGATATACACCTGAACATCAGCAGGAGAGGACTCTTTAAAGTAGAGACACTACATACTGATATACACCTGAACATCAGCAGGAGAGGACTCTTTAAAGTAGAGACACTACATACTGATATACACCTGAACATCAGCAGGAGAGGACTCTTTAAAGTAGAGACACTACATACTGATATACACCTGAACATCAGCAGGAGAGGACTCTTTAAAGTAGAGACACTACATACTGATATACACCTGAACATCAGCAGGAGAGGACTCTTTAAAGTAGAGACACTACATACTGATATACACCTGAACATCAGCAGGAGAGGACTCTTTAAAGTAGAGACACTACATACTGATATACACCTGAACATCAGCAGGAGAGGACTCTTTAAAGTAGAGACACTACATACTGATATACACCTGCACATCAGCAGGAGAGGACTCTTTAAAGTAGAGACACTACATACTGATATACACCTGCACATCAGCAGGAGAGGACTCTTTAAAGTAGAGACACTACATACTGATATACACCTGAACATCAGCAGGAGAGGACTCTTTAAAGTAGAGACGCTACATACTGATATACACCTGAACATCAGCAGGAGAGGACTCTTTAAAGTAGAGACGCTACATACTGATATACACCTGAACATCAGCAGGAGAGGACTCTTTAAAGTAGAGACACTACATACTGATATACACCTGAACATCAGCAGGAGAGGACTCTTTAAAGTAGAGACACTACATACTGATATACACCTGAACATCAGCAGGAGAGGACTCTTTAAAGTAGAGACACTACATACTGATATACACCTGAACATCAGCAGGAGAGGACTCTTTAAAGTAGAGACACTACATACTGATATACACCTGAACATCAGCAGGAGAGGACTCTTTAAAGTAGAGACACTACATACTGATATACACCTGAACATCAGCAGGAGAGGACTCTTTAAAGTAGAGACACTACATACTGATATACACCTGCACATCAGCAGGAGAGGACTCTTTAAAGTAGAGACACTACATACTGATATACACCTGCACATCAACAGGAGAGGACTCTTTAAAGTAGAGTCACTACATACTGATATACACCTGAACATCAGCAGGAGAGAACTCTTTAAAGTAGAGACACTACATACTGATATACACCTGAACATCAGCAGGAGAGTACTCTTTAAAGTAGAGACACTACATACTGATATACACCTGCACATCAGCAGGAGAGGACTCTTTAAAGTAGAGACACTACATACTGATATACACCTGAACATCAGCAGGAGAGGACTCTTTAAAGTAGAGACACTACATACTAATATACACCTGAACATCAGTAGGAGAGGACTCTTTAAAGTAGAGACACTACATACTGATATACACCTGAACATCAGCAGGAGAGGACTCTTTAAAGTAGAGACACTACATACTGATATACACCTGAACATCAGTAGGAGAGGACTCTTTAAAGTAGAGACACTAAATACTGTTATGAACCTGAAACTGAGCATAATATGTCTTCTTTAATAAAATTATGCATCAATGTATCCAATTTCTTTCCACACTGATTTGGATTTAAGTCCGACTGAAGACAGATTGACTTATTAGACTGTTTGTGCACAACCTGCTTCAAGTGTATCTCAGTGAAATGAAATGCAAATGGTTATGTTTGTACTGTTTCTGTAGAATAAAAACAAAAACATTGACAAACTTGTGCAATATTTGGAGTTGGCACACAAGAAGATGATTTCTTTAATCTTCTCCTACACTGCAAACTAGGCCTTTGTACCCACTGATGCATCAAAAACAAATCTTTATTTTGAATGTAATCTTCCTGTGCGTGCCACTACATGAAATCTGTGCTTCTGCTAGGCTCCTCATCAGCAGATAGAGGCATTTGGGAGTGCAGCTTATATCTCCTCACAATACACTCAGACTGCAGTAGTAGGTGAAAAGGAGGTGTAACGCACATGAACACATTTATAAATGCTAACACATTTCACTTACTGCTCCTCCTTAGTAATTATATTATGTTCTGCAGGCAGCATTCAGTAAACAATGTAAATCTAATCACATACATAAGGGGCATCACATTAAGGGAGAATGGGTCCCCATGGAATTCCATTAAGTGAATTCCAACATGCAGGAATGTAGATCACATGACTGCATGTGTTCACCGTTGCTCACCTGAACAGAATATATCAGCATGTTAAACAACAGGAATAATCCCACTTTAAAGGGGACCTATCATGCAAAATGCACTTTTGTACGTCTTTTATACATGAATATGTGTCCCCGGTGTTCCAGGGAACTCACCAAGTGTCAGAAAACACAATCCTCTCTATTTTCCTCCATACCCAAATCTCTAAAAAAGGGGCTGCAACGGATCTGATAAAAACTGATCCAGATTTGAACACTGTCCTGACGTCAGGACGGTGGCGCTACGGCTATTGGGCCAACTCCACCAATCAGGAGGAGACAACCACAGCATTGCCGTTCGAAAGCGCTGGAGACGCTGTAGTACATATGCCAGGCCTCTAGATGGTGCTGTTCTCACTGAATCAACCCTTGCAAAAACAGAGCTAACATTTTTCAAATTGAGCAAAATGAGGCATGGCTAAAATGCATGATCTGTTTGGTATTTTGAAAAAAAAACAAGTATAAATATGCCTTATATAGGTATGGTCCTACACTATATTATTCAAATATAGCATGATAGGTCCACTTTAACAATGTTTATTAAGATTTAATCTCTGGGAAAAATAAAATGGATTCTGGAAAAATTACATTAACGGGATTATGTAATCAGGGCACAACAACAAATGACTGTAATCCTTTACAGTTACAGTGTTACAGTTACAAGTGTGCATCTCTACTTCTACTGCCTGAATCTGCTTTATGGTTTTCACTTTCTTTGCTTCATTTGTTCTGTTTTTAATTCAGCAGGTGAACCTATATGTTCATAACATAGAGTGTGTGAGCTTAACTGTGTGTGTCTAAAACGGAGCATTTTCTGTCAGCTCAGATTTTTTTTTCGGGAAGTAATCAGATAACATTACTTGTATATTTTGATACTCAGATTAGGTTAGTCATTACATTTCATTACAGGTAACTATTCATTGTAATAAAATTGTTTTTGTGTCTCCTAACCTTGAGTGTCCTTCACTTCCATGTTGTTTGTTTACTACAAATGTATAGAATACCATACACCTGCAACATATGACAGGAGTCGTCCCATGTTTCTGTTGAAGTCAAAGCTAATAATATTCAGCACGAATAGACGGTCATGTGGGAAATATAAAAAGCAGCTGAGTGATCTGCAGCACGTGAATCTGAAAAAGATGTTTGAACATGTGACTGACCAAAAGATTTTTTCCTTCTCTTCACAGTGGGATGCCATTAATGAGATGGATGAGTACTTCACTCCCATCCACACATACCAGGTGCGTAATCCTCTCACTGCTTTTTACAGTTAATTATAACAAGAACTCCAGTGGAAAATATCACTTTGATCTCAGAAAACGTGGGTTTCTTTTCAAGGTGAATCAGGTTTCTATGACATAAACTGAAAACTTAAGCACCAATTATTCTACTATATTCGTTTGATTATATGGTAATTTTTAGAATAGAAATATATATTGTAAAACCGTTTCTGTAGTTGTTAAAACTCACTTAATTACTGTTTAAGGTTGTATTTCATTATTTATACTCTTCCGATCATTACAATGATATCGTATACACAGTAAGGAAGGCAAGTTCAAACAGAAACTCCAAGGACATTTTTAGCAGACACAAAAAATTAAGTATTTTGCAATTCTTAATTCAATAAACATAACATTAGCAACAATTCTAATACAAATATCCCATCATTCCAGTTACTTGAACAATTTTTATAATACTTTTTTACTATTTTTGTCTTGCAGCCTTAGTCTATAACTTTTATTTCCCAACGTACAGAGGTTATGACCCAGTGTCATCGTTGGTAGCTTGAAACCTGACAGCAGCCAACATTGTTAATGTAAAGCCACCAAAACAAAATGGCAGGGCATATTATTAATGTATGTTTCTAAAATGTTAAAAAAGGATAATTCTACTCTTACCAGTCGTTCAAATGACAAATCACATCTTCAGGAAAAAACATAATCCACAGATATCTACTGTAAAGATGTTTATTAATATTGATGATGTATGTTCAGAATCAGAATACCTTTATTCGTCCCACAGAGGGGACATTTTGTTAAGAAAAAGAGCCAAAGACAGCTTAATGTTACCTAAGAAGCATGCATAACAAAGATGTAAAATATATTGTACATCCATGTTGACAACCCCCAGGACAGAGGGGCTAAAGAACTGTTTTGTGTTCTTGATAACTATGGACTGACTCAGCATGTGGCGGAGCCCACGCACAATAAGGGGCACACTCTGGACTTAATTATCTCAAAGGGTCTGAATATCTCAAAGGTTGTGGTGACTGATGTTGCACTCTCTGATCATTCCTGTGTTTTCTTTGAGAGCTCTATTTCTGTTCACAAAAATGTTCAGAAAGAGGTAACCACAAAGCGATATTTAACTGAAAATACTAGGGAAATGTTTACTCATAATTTTTCATCCACACTTGCCCCTGCTAACATCTCAGTAAATGAGCTAGTAGATCATTTAAATTCAAAAATGAAAAATGTTATAGATACCATTGCTCCAACTACGGTAAAGGAAGTGATTGGCAAGAAAATATCTCCATGGAGAAAGGCCATGACCGTGAGAACAGAAAAAAGAGAGTGTCGAAAAGCTGAACGTAGGTGGCGAAAAACAAATCTCCAGGTTCACTTTGAAATCTATAAAGAGAGACTTGGCCTTTATAATTTGGAATTGAAAAACGCACGACAGTCTTTCTTCTCTGACATCATTACCAAAAACAAAAACAACGCACGTGCCTTGTTTGCTACCGTCGACAGACTAACTAACCCCCCAGTGCAATGATTTTGCCTCCTTCTTCACTGACAAAATTCAGAAAATTAGACAAGCAGTCAGTGCCTCTGCATCAGGTACAACAAATGTGTTGTCCCTATGTCCACCTAATATCAATTCAAACACCATGACACAATTCCATCAGATTAATGGTAAAAACTTAGAGGACATTATTCAACTTCTGAAATCCTCCTCCTGCTGCCTTGATATTATTCCAACAGGATTTTTCAAAGATGTTTTTCCTTGCATGGCCTCAGATCTACTTCATATAGTAAACACATCTCTTCACTCAGGTATCTTTCCAGAGGCCCTGAAAACTGCAGTCATTAAACCGCTCTTAAAAAAGAATAATCTAGATGCCTCAGTAATGAACAATTACAGGCCAATATCAAACCTGCCATTTCTAGGTAAAATCATTGAAAAAGTTGTATTTCAACAGTTGAGTAACTTCTTGCATTTAAATAACTGTTTGGATGTGTGCCAGTCAGGATTTCGTCCAAACCACAGCGCTGAGACTGCTCTTGTAAAGGTCTTCAATGACATCCACTTAAACACAGACAGTGGCAGAACTTCAGTGTTAGTATTATTAGATCTCAGTGCTGCGTTTGACACTGTTGACCACAACATATTACTAGACCGACTAGAAAACTGGGTGGGACTTTCGGCAACAGTTCTAAATTGGTTTGAGTCCTACTTAAAGGACAGAAAAAACTTTGTTTCTATAGGTAAATACACATCTGAGTTGACAAATATGACATGTGGGGTACCTCAAGGCTCCATCTTGGGGCCTCTTCTCTTTAACATCTACATGCTACCACTGGCTCAGATAATGAAAAACAACAAAATAAGTTACCATAGCTATGCGGATGACACACACATTTACGTAACAATTTCACCAGGAGATTATGCTCCAATTCAAACACTGAGTAAGTGCATTGAACAAATCAATGACTGGATGTGTCAGAACTTTCTCCAATTAAACAAAGATAAAACTGAGGTAATGGTTTTTGGAGCCAAGGCAGAACGTATAAAAGTTAGCGCTGAGCTTCAGTCTGCAATGTTCAAAACAACAGATAAAGCCAGAAATCTAGGTGTAGTCATGGACTCTGACCTGAGTTTCAACAGTCACATTAAAACAGTTACTAAATCAGCCTACTATCACCTAAAGAACATATCTAGGATTAAAGGACTAATGTCACAGCAGGATTTGGAAAAACTTGTCCATGCTTTTATCTTCAGTAGACTCGACTACTGCAATGGTGTCTTTACAGGCCTCACTAAAAAATTGATTAGAAAGCTGCAGCTAATTCAGAACGCCGCTGCTCGAGTCCTCACTAACACTAAGAAAGTGGATCACATCACTCCTGTTCTGAAGTCCTTACACTGGCTTCCTGTGTGTCAAAGAATAGATTTCAAAATATTGTTGCTGGTTTATAAAGCTTTGAATGGTTTAGGCCCAAAATACATGTCTGACCTACTGCTAAATTATGAACCATCCAGAACTCTCAGGTCTTCAGGGACTGGTCAGCTTTCTGTCCCCAGAGTCAGAACTAAACATGGTAAAGCAGCATTCAGTTATTATGCTCCAAATATCTGGAACAAACTCCCAGAAACCTGCAGGTCCGCTGCAACTCTTACTACTTTTAAATCCAGGCTGAAGACTTTTCTTTTTGCCGCTGCTTTTAATTGAACTATTCACATCTTAAACTGCACTGTAACTTTTAACTTTTATCCATGTATTTTTTCTTTTAATGTTTATTTTATTATCTTTTCTTTTTAAGGACTGATTTTAAATGCCATTTTTAAAATGTCTTCCATTTTTGTAAAGCACTTTGAATTGCCTTGTGTTGAAAGGTGCTATATAAATAAACTTGCCTTGCCTTGCCTTGCCTTACATATTGCACATATTGCGCATGGTTGGTATATACCAGCGACGTGCAGTCAGTGGAGGCAGGGGAGGCAGAGCCTCACCTGTCATACTCCAATGTAACGGAAAAACAATTAAAGAAAAACTAAATAATAATAATAATAAAATGTCTCCACTGATCTTGTGTAAATGTGATTTATGTATGATTCCAATCGCATTTTATAGCCAAAATCAGCAAATTTGCCGAGCTCCGCTACGGGAGCGATGAGAAGTGAGGCAGGCACGAGCACTGCCTCACGTAAGCCCACAGTAACTTGCTGGAGCACGGGTACTAATTTAGCGCGGCCACTTATTTTGTGAGCGCGCTCAAGCCATTTACTGTGGGGTGAGGTGAGGCACAGATGAGCTCTGCCTCAATTCAGAATGCGTCACCCCACAGAAACTGGCTGGAAAGCGGGCCCTCAGCGCATGCCTGTTCCCATCTCACTGTAGGTCACCAATGTAATGTTTGTAGATCCCTTTATTACATTTATCCTTGCCATCCATAGTCTCTAAATAACTTATTTCACGTATATATGATATTTAGGCTCGCTGGTCTCATCGTACAACGGCAATGAAAAAATCACCAGGAGGCAGCCATAACCTCTGCCGCACTGAAGGCCCCCTTCAGTGCGGCAGAGGTACTGGGTAGCAACAAGAACCTGTGGGCTCACGTGCTACTGTTATTCTACCGCAAACAACAAACTAGAAAACTTTTGAAAACTAGACTTTTGAAACTACAGGAAGATAAGGAGGACTTTTACAAAACAGTAATAGAGATTGTTGTCCAGAAGGATAGCATGGACTTATATTCATCTTCAAGTCAAGGTAAGACCACAACTGTAATGAAAATGGGATCTTACTTAGAAAGAACAATCCAATATTTAGATTTTGGGTATCCTTTTGTTGATCGGTCTGTTTAAAATTAATCATAGCATCAGACTAAAAAAGATTTTGAAAATAACAGAATATTTCGATTAAGGTCAAAATAGGCTATAATATTTGTAAATCTGACTCTGAAAGAGTCAGTGCCTCACCAGCCATGAACCTCACCGCACGTCACTGGTATATACAGTAGGTACAAGGGGTGTTATAGCTAGAGTTCCTGATTATAACACTGTCTCTGATTCAGGTCTGTAACGTGATGAGCCCCAGTCAGAACAACTGGGTGAGGACGGGCTGGCTCCCCAGAGAAGGAGCCCGGAGGATCTACATTGAGGTCAAGTTCACCCTGAGAGACTGCAACAGCATGCCGGGGGTCCTGGGCACCTGCAAGGTAACACTCAGAGAGAAGGGGGGGGGGGGGGGTTTGGCAGGGGGGGAGACAAAGCTAGAAAGAGGAGGGAAGGAGATGAGGAGAGAACTGTGAGCGAGGAAAGGAGATCAAGCTGGAAAATCCCACTTAAGATTTATTTAGTTATTCTTTTTATTGGTCAATTTATTGAACATGTTAGAAACAAAACAAACAATAATAATAATTATAACAAAGAGAAGCAAAAAAAACGTTCTAAAAAAATATATAAAAATAAATTGTTTCCGTCCTCTTCAAAAGGGGCAAGAAGAAGCTTAAAAACGTTTCTGGTCCTACCCACTGTAACGTACATTCTTCATGAAAATCAAAGTGTAGTTAATCTTTTGATTCAATGTTTTAAACAAATCATTTTTTTGTAAAAAAATAACTTTTACAATGACAAGAAATAGCAAGCATCACTTCACACGTCCTGCTCATAACCATTCAGGATTTGGTTTCTAATTAATAATGTTAGTTTAGATAAAGCTGCACAGTATTTCAGCTCATCATTATTCCACCGATTTGACTTAAAGTGGACCTATCATGCTATATTTGAAACATATATTGTAGGGCCATACCTATATAAAACATGTCTGTGAAGTTTTTTTTCAAAATACCAAACAGATCATGCCTTTTAGCCATGCCTCATTTCGCTCTATTTGCTCTATTCCAGCCCTGTTTTTGCATGGGCTGATTCTGTGAGAAGTCTTCTTTGCTGCTTTTGTGGCAGACTACAGCGCCACTTACAGGCCTGGCATATGTACTACAGCGTCTCCAGCGCTTTCGATCGGTCTCTCATTCCCCTGATAGGTGGAGAGTTGCCCATATAGGCGGAGCACCCCTTTTCTGACGTCAGAAAAATTCAAATAATAATCAGCTCCGTTGCAGCCCTGTTTTTTAGAGATTTGGGTATGGAGGAAAAGAGAGAGGGTTGTGTTTTCTGACACTTGGTGAGTTCCCTGACACACCGGGGACACATATTCATGTATAAAAGACGTACAAAAGTGCATTTTGCATGATAGGTCCCCTTTAAGATCTGGAAAAATATCTTATCTAAGAGATGATGTGCAGCGTCGTTAATGAAAAATGAACACCAACATGGTGATCAGGATCTTGCAACGAGTTGACTCACAATATTGATTTTTAATGATTTTATTTTTTTTAATATTTGTATTGCTTCGGCTAAGAAAAATGTCATGTCCACAGCTGTCGTTAAATGTACCGGACTTCTTACTGCTTATTGATAGGACTGTACAGTGTAGTCCCTTGATCCTCCTTAGCAACGGCCATGTTCTCCTTAGCAGTGGTGTGTTAGCGAAAATCAACAACCTCTGACATATCCAAACTGACCAATCAGAATCGAGTATTCAGCAAAGCCTTGAAAAATTACCAAATAAAATGTGTTGTATAAAATAGGTTGAAAACCCCCCCAATTGAGGTAGTTTCAGTCCATATTTAAAGAGTAAAAGGTTACAATGTATAGCTAATTTTGTTCCCCACATTTACAATTAATCTTTCTACCTTTGTTTGTTGTACAGGAAACCTTCAACCTGTACTACTACGAGTCCGACAGGGCGGTGGGCTCAGCGGTGCGGGAGAACCAGTTTATTAAGATCGACACCATCGCTGCTGACGAGAGTTTTACAGGCGTGGACCTGGGGGTCCGCAGACTCAAACTCAACACTGAGGTATGAGCAACAACACCAAACAACAGCATGGTCCAAACCACAGGTAGATGTCAGTCCAGGCTCTTTGAAGCAATGTCTTACTCAGAGATGGCAAAAGTACACACATCCTTTGCTCAAGTAGAAGTACAGATACTCGTGTTTAAAAATACTCTGGTAAAAGTAGAAGTACTGACTAAACTTCTTTACTCAAGTAAAAGTAAAGAAGTATGGGCTTTGAAATGTACTTAAAGTGGACCTATCATGCTATATTTGAACAATATAGTGTAGGACCATACCTATATAAGGCATATTTATCCATTTTTTTTTCAAAATACCAAACAGATCATGCATTTTAGCCATGCCTCATTTTGCTCAATTTGACATTTTTTAGATCTGTTTTAGCAAGGGCAGATTCTGTGAGCAACAGCACCATCTACAGGCCTGGCATATGTACTACAACGTCTCCAGCGCTTGCCGTGGTTGTCTCCTCCTGATTGGTGGAGTTGGCCCAATAGCCGTAGCGCCACTGTCCTGACGTCAGGAAAGTGTTCAAATCTGGATCAGTTTTTATCAGATCCGTTGCAGCCACCAAACACACATTCAAACTAAAGTAACCAGCCTGTTTGGAAAATGTAAGAAGTAGAAAGTACAGGTATTGTTAAGAATGTAAGAAATCAAAGTAAAAAGTCGTCAGAAAAATAAGTAGTGGAGTAAAGTACAGAAAAATGTACTTAAGTACAGTAACGAAGTATTTGTACTCCACCATTTCCCACCTCTGGTCTTACTTTGGATTTTAAGTGCACTCTGATTCTCAGCACGTAAACGTCTGCAGAAGTTCAAGACGAGTTGGAAAGATCCACAGAGAGAACCTCTTCCTGTCTGTCACTCACTGCAGATCTGTTAAAAGAAACCAACAGCAGTTCAGCATCATGGGAAATACTTTGATATCGATAGCAACTTCAAATTTGATGCTGGGTAGTGGAGCTTGTCTTTTATTGATACCTTACATTGTTAGAAAGATGAAGATATAAAGGGAATGGTATAATTCATTGTACACTGTCCTTACATTTGCTGCACATTGATCCTGAGTTTGGTATAGGAAGCACAACTTCAATAAGGTTGTGGTTTTGGGGGATAGCCATTGACTCGTTCATCCTTTTAAATGTATCGCAGGAATCTGTTATTTGTTATCCCATAGTATTATTTCCTGATCCAAATTCAAAAGTGCTAGCATTTGGCTAACATCTATTGTTAAGTTTAAAGAAAAGCTTCTCAATGTCTTATTTGTTCATTTTCAGAGTCTATTAAAGTCTTATCCTCACCATGTTCTTTTGGATTATTATCACTTTACCTAATGTAAAAAAAGTACTGGGCACTAACTCTGGGGCATGCTAACACTTAACACTAAATCAAAGCCCTACTATTTAATTATTACGTTAAACCTGTTAACAATCGCTTCTCAAAAGCAGTCATGAGCAGCTTATCTTGCTCGTAGTTCAACTTTGGGGACTTTGACTTGCTAATTTGTGCTGTTGACCAATAGCAATCAATTTAACAACTCCAAAATAAAGAAATCTATAATCTATTAGCGGCATTTCAACATTGACTTTTCGTTACCTCATCTGTCAGGGTATAGATTTATAGTTTTGAAACAGGTGTACATGGCAAAGATATGTCTTTTGAATAAAGAAAGCTAAGCGCTAAGAGCTAACAAATTGGCTAATTGATTGTTAGAGAATGTGTAAGCTTAGAGAGCTTTCATTTTCCTCTACAATTGAACAAAATGCGGAATTACCGAACAATGGACAGAAGCATGGGCGTAGGAAGCATCCTGAATGTGGGGGGGGACATTTTTAACGGGGGGTGTGGGGGCGAAAAAATATATAGATTTCCTGTATTCTGGTGCATTTTAACAGGTGGTTTGATACTTGTATGTGGCTATACTAGCATGAGGAAAATGATGGGTACATTTTGTAATTTCATCCAGTAGTAAAGAAAGGAAACATATTTGATTATTAATTCAGAGCTGTCTTTGAATTAATAAAAAGCAGTTTAAAATGCCCAGTTTTTGTACATTTATATACAACAATAAATATTTGAGTGCATTGAGAGATATTGTTGTGGAGAGTCATTTATATATAAATCGCAAAATACATTTGTGAATCCTTCTGTGAGCATTTATTAATATTGAGACTGATCTGACTCCATACAGATGTTAAGTTCAAATAAATGTTGCTCTTCTGTCTATATTGGTCATATGATGCCCCTTGACTGAAATGTTTCCTGTTCAATATCCCCACTGATTTCCTTAAAATCCTGGGATGAGAGTCCACATCACAATTTACTCTCAACTGTCATTTCTCTTTCATCACTCACCTCAGCAATGGACCTCTCTCTCTGTCCCTGTATTCTGCCTCTGACTCACTCTCAAGTGCCTAGATGTCAAGAGAGGTGGTGAAGTGATAATTATTTATTGAGCAGTATACTCTTTCACATTGAATCATAACAAGTCATACTGAATGTAAATACAACTGACTCTAAAGTAAGTCCCAGTCTGTGACATTGGACATTTTGAAGACTCAAAGTCCCAAGCAGTAGGTATCTCTCTATCATGACATAAAGACGAAACTCCTCTCCAGAAGTGAGACGCCGCCATCACTGTTAACTGCTACCAGCTGATGACTTACTTTCCTCTTCTTTGAAAAAAATGTTCTTATGCCCATGTTGTCTGGGGGAGAAAACATATCAAACCAAGAGATCGTCAGCTTTGATTTTCGCTGTATTAACCATTTCCTGAACATTTGGTGTGTGTGCCTTACCTCCGCTACCGGCATCGCTTCATACAACAGATCTGAGCTGTCCAACTATGACAACACTCCTTGAACATGCGCGCGCTATGTGAGAATCTGCCTTGGTACAAAGTAGCAGTGAAAACATGGTACGGAGTTTCATTGATTTGGGCATTCTCTCAATAAGCAAGTGGAATGGATTTAATTTGATAGTAAAGCACTGACACAGCGCTCTACAAAGTGCAGCGAGTGGATAGACCGATTCACGGACTTTCCGCATAGTAAAAGTGGGGGGGTCTAAACTAATCATTTGAAAAAGTGGGGGGGACTTGTCCCACCCTCATATAATGGCTGCGACGCCCATGGACAGAAGACAGATAGAAAAATATAAAAAAACACATCTGCCTAAGAACCATTTAATAATGCATTTGTTAGTTATAGGCAGTTTCTATAAAGTAAATTAGGAACAACAACACTAGTTCTCACTCTCATTTGCAGCCATTTAAGGTGTGAATAAGTCTGCAAACTGTCCCTATAGAAGCATATGGACTTATTATATTCATATGCTTCCAAAATAAACTTATGAGTAATGTTTTGAATCCTTGCTTGGGTGTTAACAAGATAATCAACTGTGATAGAGATAAAAAAACAAGCATATAAAAATGTAAAAACTTCCATGTTTCCAGGTTGTTATTGTTGTTGTTGGAGGTTGATTAATGGCTGCTGCCAAAGCACAACACCAAACACCAGTCCAGAGATTAAATTAAGGCTGCGTTAACACTCTTCCACCTGTTTTGTTCACAAACCACTGCAGCAACCAGAGGTTTTAATATGAAAGAGTGAGAAAACTTTCCAAACGAAACTTCTCCAATGCGTCGGTGTACCAATCAGACTTGAGTAAATCTAATGAAACCAAACCCACACAGTCCTGATGCAGCAGATTAACTTTATTTATTCCTCTACGTTTTTGAATAATGCCTTAAAAAAAAATTCAGTTGGTCTGGACATGAATTTTTATTGTTTTATGGAAATCCACACATTTGAACTTAAACATCTAAGTCTTACACATCTTATTTTCAGGTGTTCCGAAGTATTACTGCATATATAAAGTAATTTTGCCTTTATTTATCATCTTAATTAGGCAATACGTTAATGCTCTGAAAGCCAAGACATAGTTTTTATTTGATTAAATGAAAACCCACTGTCTTGGTCCCTGCCGTGTTTCTCTCAGCCTGTTATTCATTGTTTTGGGAGACGTATGAGGGAAGAGGAGCGGCGCTGTGTAGTGGAGACGGTTATCGATGAAGTTGACACTCAATTCAAACATTTTGTTATTGCCTGAATATGGCGATCAAAGTGAAATCTTCTGAAAACCAAGATTTGTTTGTTTTAAATTAACCAAAAGCTCCAAATGACGAAAACAAATTCATATAAATCTATGTTTATATCGTAGTGATCTGTGCGACATCTGACAGATTTGTATATAGCATTTCACATATACTGTAAACACGCTCATGATGACCTGAAGTGTGTGTGATGAAAGTGTCAAATTCACACCTTTGAGATAGTTTCAGTCCATCTTTAAAGGGTAAATTAGGTTAAAATGTAAGAGTGAAATTAGCCAAGATTTGTTTGTTTTAAATTGACCAAAACCCCAAAATGATGAAAACTGTTTTTCATATAAATCCATTTTTATATATCGTAATGATCCGTTGCGACATCTAACTGATTTTGACACTCTCATGATGACCTGAAGTGTGTGTGATGAAAGCGTCTAGATATTGCCTGAATATCAAAGTCAGATTTTTCTGAAAGCCAAGATTTGTTTGTTTTAAATTAACCGAAAAAACCCTAAAAATGACGAAAACACAAGTTTTAGTTCTGATAAGGTGGGTCACATGTAGACATTCTCAGTCATAATGACCTAAAGTGTGTGTGATGAAAGTGTCAAACTGACACCTATTGAGATAAAGTGATAATGTAGCTATTAAAACAAGATATCACAGTAAAAAGTTGTGCATTTGTATGAACATGTTATAAAGATTTATATTTATTCACCTGAAGTGTGTGTGATGAAAGTGTAAAACTGTCCTCCCCCCTCTCCAGGTGCGAGGCGTTGGCCCGTTGTCCAAACGAGGTTTCTATCTGGCCTTCCAGGACATCGGCGCCTGCATCGCTCTCACCTCGGTGCGAGTTTACTACAAACGCTGCGCCGGTGTGAGCCGTAACCTGGCGGTGTTCACGGACGTAGTGACGGGGGCCGACTCCTCCTCTCTGGTGGAGGTCAGAGGTCAGTGTGTGGATCACGCCGAGGAGAGGGACACGCCCAAGATGTACTGCAGCGCCGAGGGAGAGTGGCTGGTTCCCATCGGGAGGTGTGTGTGCTCCGCTGGGTTCGAGGAACACCGAGACTCCTGCGTTGGTGAGTGGACTCACAGTGTTTCTTGGTTTGCTCAATAAACACTTTTACTGTCACTGGTACCAAACTAGGGTTAGGGTACAAAAACCAAACCAGGGGAAATCACAGTGTTTCATTCTCAATTAACACTATTAGTCTGATGTTCTTGTATTTAGTTAACTTCCCTTGCACTATTGTATTTCTTCTTTGTTTCTTCTTGCACTATTTTAATAATTTTTTTCATTTATTATATTGTTTGATGTCATATATATTATGGATTCACAGTGTTTCTGGGTTTGCTCAATGAACACTTTTACTGTCACTGGTACACAACTAGGGTTAGGGTTAGGAACCAAAAACAAACAGGGAAGAATCAGTACATGGGACGTTAAGTTAGCTTAAATTCAAAAGCTCAAATACAAATGACTCCTGCGTTGGTGAGTGGACTCAGAGTGTTTTATTCTCAATTAACATTATTATTCTCACTTGTTCCTGCATTACTTGCACATTGGTCTTGCAACATTCTCTTGCATTATTTTATTTCTTCTTTGTTTCTTCTTGCACTATTATTATTATTGTTTTTTACATTTGTTATGTTTGTTATATGTCATATATGTTTATTTTGTACCGTTGGAGGAGCCTGGGAATTACGTTTTTTTATTGCCACAATTACGCTGTAGCTGTGCATATGACAATACAGCCTATGCACTTGGAACAAGGGTTAGGGTTAGGAAACAAAACCAATCAAGAAAATATCACAGGATCTTTTGATGCTGTGCATGGGACTTTAAGTTAGCTTAAATTTAAAAGCTCAAATACAAATGTAAATAAATGTTCTTATTACATGGGCTGAGTTAGAAAACTGTCAACAAAGGGATATCCTAAATTATATAATTCCACTTTATTAGATAAGATTATTAAAAAAGAACCTATTCTTCATCAGTACTAGAACTGAGACAATACAATGCAATTCAAAATGTTGCCTTTACCGAACACAGCGGTAATGCTGATTTAGATATTGCAGTAGTTCATATTGCAATTTTGTTAAAAATGACAATCCATTATGCAGCCATACAGTAGTATAGATATGTTATGATTAGGATATACGATTCAAACATAAAGCACAGTGAATTTCATATATAACCAGGAAATATCTCAAGATTATCTCATTTAAGCAAGACAAAAATGGCACTTTTCTACCTAAAATCGTTTCTTTAGCTGGCAATTTTAGTCCTCAAACATTTATTTTTATGGTTAAGCTTCCACTTCAATATTTGCACATGTGCCTAAGATAATGTAATAATGAAATGTGATTTATATTTTAACCTAAGCCTAAAAGAAAAGGGGAAAACAGAGACTAGAAAAAAGCTGTTACTATAAAATATAATATAAGTCCTTTCAATTCCATTCATATCTGATCATTGGGCTGGGCATTTGGAGAAATGTATTTGTGTTGATTACACCAATAACTACGACATAAGTGTTTTCTAAGAGTGATAAAAGAGAGAATTTGACTAAAGAAATAGCGTGAACACTTACGGTCACAAAATAAAAGCTAGGATTAAATCGATATTTTCTTTAATTTCGACGATAGTACTGATCTGCAGAAGATGCTGGAAAAAAATTTCCCTTCTGGCTTAATTTTTTATTTTTATAGCTACTCTGTCACGCTCTTTTCCACTTCAAAAAAGTCATCATGTAAGAATCAGAGTTGCCCATTTATTTAATGATCCGAAAGTTTCCTCTGGGCTCAGAACATCAGCAGAAATGTAACCAGAGTGTAAAAAGAGCCTTTGAAGCAACACATGAATTTGGAAAAGGGTTCTCACCTTTCTAGTGAATCAAAACATCTGTTTGAAGTTCTGCCTGTGATCCTGTGAAAAGTTCATGGTTCGGTCAAAAGCTTTTCTGAGGTTCAACGCTGCTTTCAATCCGGTAAATACTGAGAGAAATGCCGAGTGTGTCTCTTTCGTCATTCAGCCTCTGATGAGGAATAATAAGTGAGACGTTTAGATGCTAAGATTCTGGATCCTTCCTATTTTTTTAGACCACGTTCTGTTTATTTTTGTCTTTTTCGATTTTTCATGGGGATTTGATTGCGTGACCTCATGTGGCGAACTGTGCATACTTGAAGTTGCCATGGGTTACAGTAATTAAAGCCTATTAATCACAGCACGATGGATAATTAAACACTAAAAGCAGTTTGTCAGCCAAACGAGCCGAACAAGTCACGCAACACCGGTTCGCTTGCATCCGTCCTGACCTGTTCCTCCTCCAAACACCTACACACACACACACACACACACACACACACACACACACACACACACACCTCTCTGTTGTGTCTTAAAAAGGCAAGTGAAAAACACCCTTTTTCGTGCAAAAGAAAATTGTGTGTGTGTGCGTTTGTATTTATGCAGTTTTGGGGACCCCACTTTTTTACACACTCACCTCACGGGGCCCCCTGAGTATTTGGGGACAACAATCAGTTCCTCATTTTAAACCATTTGAAATGAATGCAAAAATCAATCTTACGGTGCTGTAAAGTGTTTAGCATTGGTCCATAGTGTGTGTGTGTGACCGGTTTAGAGGGCCACTCTTCTATAATTAGTTTTAGCTAATTAGCATTAGCGCAGAAAGGCAAAAAAAGAGCGTAGAAACAAAGTAAGGACAAGGTTGCAAGAAAAATCTGGAGTCACATCATGTTTATGGACACATTTTATCCTCATTGAGGCTGAACACACACGTCATCGTAACTACTGGAGATATCTTTTTTTTTCAAGACGGTAAAAGCTTCAAAGCACCGTAAAATAAAAATAACCTGCTCTATGATAACTCTCAGACAAGGTGATGTTTTCACTCCGCATTTCCTTTACCATTACATCACAGCAGCTGTAGTAGAAAGTGGATTTCCAGTGGACGGAGGGGGAGGGGATGGGCGAGTAAAGAGCTCTTCAGTAAATTCTCCGCTGACGTCTTGTCTCTTCTGGCACCAAACTGGGTCGTCGTGCTAATTCGCCCTCGCCAAATCCAGCCACAGTCACGCACACACGAGACCAGACAAGACACAGCGAGGGGCGGGGGGGCACGAGATGGTGAAAGAAAGACAGCTTAAGTGGGGAACGCCTGTATGTGTGTATGTGAGCAGATAGTGGAAAAAAATCATGAATGTGCGTGAATATGTGTGTGTATATGAGCGTGATGAAGTGGTTCTCCCCTGACAAAGGTGCAGAGCTTTGGCTGAGAGCACGGCATGTTTTTTTGTGTGTGTGTGTGTGTGTGTGTGTGTGTGTGTGTGCGTGCGTGCGTGCGTGTGTGTGTGCGAGCACAGGGTTGCGTGACATGCCGTTAAAAGTGTCACAGGGAGGAAGGCAATGAAAGACGAAAGGAAAAAGAGAGGAGGGTGGAGGGGGAAAGACTCGGTTGGAGTAGACCCCTCGTCCACTTGAGTTTACATCAAAACACTGAGTCTGTGTGTGTGTGTGTCTAGTTGAGCATACATGTGTGCAGGTGTGTACTGTAAGTGTGTATATGTGTGTCTCTGTGTGTGTGTGCCTCCTGGTGCTGGGGAAGAATAGACTAAAGTGCCCCCATACAGTGCGAGTGATCGAGGACACACTGATAGGAGCCACACACACTTAGGCTGGTCACATCTACTCAGCTCAGCAAGCCCACCCAAGCCTGACACACACACACACACACACACACACACACACACACACACACACACACACACACACACACACACACACACACACACACACACACACACACACACACACACACACACACACACACACACACACACACACACAGACAGAGACGCTGGGGAGAGAGGGGTTAGTTCCTTCCTCTGCTCAGTCACTGGACCACAGCCTGTCCTAGTCTGTGAACTTCACCTCTGATGCTTTTATTTAAATAATGCTTCAGTTTTTAGGGAAATAACAGGATTTAGAAACTAGAATACAAATGCACGCACATGCTGGAAATCTAAAATAACTATAGTTACCCCTTATGGAAAGACATCGCAGTGAAAAATGAAAACTTCTTGAAGTAAGTGATCAACTAAGTATAGTTACTAATATGTTACCCTTTACACCTGAAGTGTCTTGCAAAATGTGTAGAATTTTACAATATATTTATATTTCTCAAAATACGTTCCATTGTCTAAGCCAACACTGCAGCACAAACGATGATGAAACGTTTTCTTTCAACAGATGCACTTTGTTCAGAATATAAACTCATATTTGTACATAGGTAAATTACAACAAAGAACACAAGAAAAAACTGAAATGAAAAATGTAGAAATAAATAAATAATAAGAAAAGAAAACTATAATCTAAGTATCAAACCATCCCATTTATTTCAAGATTTTTACAGAGGGGTCGTTCACATATCATTTATCATTTTATTTCCAAAAACATGGCAAATAATTGCTTTTTTTAATACCTTTGAAATATTGAAAGGTTCGTCTATAAAAATTGATTTGTTCCTCGGAAAAATATACATACATTCTTAAATAATGCCTCATTTTATTTATAATTTAAAGGGGACCTATCATGCAAAATGCACTTTTGTATGTCTTTTATACATGAATATGTGTCCCCGGTGTTCCAGGGAACTCACCAAGTGTCAGAAAACACAACCCTCTCTATTTTCCTCCATACCCAAATCTCTAAAAAAGGGGCTGCAACGGATCTGATAAAAACTGATCCAGATTTGAACACTGTCCTGACGTCAGGACAGTGGCACTACGGCTATTGGGCCAACTCCACCAATCAGGAGGAGACAGCCACGGACATTGCCGTTCGAAAGCGCTGGAGACGCTGTAGTACATATGCCAGGCCTGTAGATGGTGCTGTTCTCACAGAATCAACCCTTGCAAAAACATAGCTAACATTTTTCAAATTGAGCAAAATGAGGCATGGCTAAAATGCATGATCTGTTTTGTATTTTGAAAAAAAAAAAGTATAAATATGCCTTATATAGGTATGGTCCTACACTATATTATTCAAATATAGCAT